TTGTTGGTCTATTCTGACAATTTCTTTGTATCAGCTGGTGTTGCATATATTATAATCGCTCGCTTCTTCAAGTGAAAGCATAATATAAATCAACTAATAAACTAAAATTAACTATTGCAGATCATTATATGAACATTCAGGTAAGTTTATGACAATTATTCTTTTTTTTTACTCAATTAAAAGTTCTTTATTTTTCAAGTTAGGTTTAAGAAGGATGATGGGGGCACTTGTGAACAAAACATCTGGGGCAGATGTGAACAGTTCACAAGTGCCCCTACATAGTATTAAGATTATTATCCTCATGATATTATAAGTTTAAAAAATATGTATGCATTTAAAATCATTATTATTTAATTTTCCATAATTAATTTATTAATTTTTCCTTTAAATTTTTTTTATTTTATTAAATGGTTGATCGCGCATCATGCATATTAACTGTTGCACCTGAGAAAATAGAATTTCCAAAGCTACAAATGAAAACATAGAAAAAATGAAAAAAGGCATGAAAGAGTATTAGAGAAGAAAGAAAAACGCCCATTACAACTCCCGAGGAACATGAAGTTGCGAAAAACCCAACAACGGAAAAATTATTATACAGCTGAAAAATTATTTTGTTATTGACAGTACTGTTGTACATTTTAAATTCACATAGTAGTTTAAATTCACATAGTTCAGTATAATGCGTATATGTATCGGTTATATTAAAGATTTTTTTCTTTGAAATATGATGATTGCTTTGCGTTTTTAATCTTGTTCATATGTTCCCCAGGCATGTTCACATGTGCCCCCAATAGGGGCACATGTGAACAATTGAAGTCATTTTTCTAAAATATCATAAAGTAAAGAAATATTTTATTGAAAAATCTCAAAAAATTCCAAAGACAAAGAAAAGACTATTTAAATATATGGACTTCTTTACTATGAAAAATTTATGATATTTTTTGAAAAATGAAGAAATAAAAAAATGTTTTCACATGTGCCCCCCTCTCCTTTACCTAGTTCCCAATAATTACTTATGAAACTACCATTTGTAGTTACTAAAATGTCATTAGTAATTAATAATTTTAACACTCAGAAATAACTATGAATGTGTCATCAGTAGTTATTTTCGATAATTTTGTTTTTAATTCGATTATAGTGTTTTTAATTTTAACTCTCATGAATTCTGTGTTCTCTTTTTAGACAAGGAGCTCTATTCACTAACCCTAACATGAAAATAAAGTGCAAATATGTTTTCAAGGAAGGTTCAGGTTTCACATCAAATGTAAATTCTATAATAAAAAAGCCTTTTGAAGGGAAATTCGATTGCGGCGTCAACTCTGGCATGACTGGTAAGCATATTCTAAAAATAAAATAAAAATTTGAAAGAAAATAATGCTTTAAGCAATATATCTGCACTGTTTTAGATATTCTAGATATATCCTTACATGAGATTAGGGTATTGAAAACTTATAAGTCTATTGGTTGGCTCAGTCCCGTGTTCTGTAAAGTTCATTAACCCCCAGAGATTGGTATGCAATCTAATCTATCAACATGATTGCTGCCAAGGCAAATATATTTGAAATATGTCCTGTTAGCTAACGGAATAAGTAATTACAGGTATTGCAATACAAAAAAACAGTTTTTGAAATAAACTTTTAGTTAAAAATATTTACTATTAAAATTTCTTTGAAACGTGGATCACTCACCTTGAAGTGAGTCATTTGACAACGTTATAATATTGTCAAATGACTCACTTACTGAGATTACATAGATTTTTCTAGGGTTCCATTTTGACCGCTAGATGAAGAATGGTTTGCTAAAAGTAAAAAAAATATGTATGAAATTTGGGATTAAAAATTTTGTTGAAGCTTAAATTTTATATGTTTGCATCACCATTGCAGGCTTTAAAAAGGCTTGTAACTTAAAAAAGCGTTAAAAATGTCGTGGTGATTATCGTCGTAACTGACTTTAAATTCGATAATTTCTTACTCGAAAAATATTATTGGTTTTTAATTGAGTTCAGAGCACTGATCTCGTATATTTTTGCATTTCTTAGCATTTTTTTTACTTTCAAGTTTTCTGTAATCATATGGGTAATTAAGAAAGAAAAATCTAAAGCTTAGAATATGAAGAGTATTTTACGTGGATATGAATTTTTTTTCAGTTCTTCGCATGTTTTCAAGTTTTTTTTTTTAAAACTTCCGCTCTTTAATATCGAAAGCTACTCTTTTCTGCCCAGCTCTTGTCGCTGCTAACAATAGGATATATGTTTAATCTGTTGAATGATCGCGTACGCAAAAACGTACTATATAAGAATAAATATTTTTTTTATAATTTTTTTTATAACCGTCGTTTGACAGCCGAACCAATTTTTTACGTTTACGACTACTATTGTTCAACTCCGTAGCCTTGTAATTTTGAACCCAATCTAGAAGACAAGGGAACTCCTGGGTCAAGTATTGGGAGAAATTTGCCTTCGTGGAGGACTTTTTGATGGAACTGACCCGCATTTGCGTTACATGGAGAGGAAGACCACGAGAACCTCCCACGGTTAGTCTGACGGCAAAGGGACTCTTACCCATGATCCGTTCACCACTGAGGATATTTCACGTCAACACTGCGGTCTGTGTAAGTCGGATTTGGAATTCGTATTGACTGGGATTCGAACCCGGTTCGTCTCATTGGAAAGCGAACCCTCTATCCCCTGAGCCATCACGGATCGAAATAAATGTTTTGAAAAATTCATAAAGATACGAAATCAGACACAAAAATATACTTCTTCTGAATTAGGCCATCGAAAAAGGGATTGGGAGCTGTCACATTCAAGAAAAAAATAATCTTTATACTTCAGTCACGAAATGTCGGGAATTCCTTAAAACTAATCTTTTGAATAAACCATCATATCTTTTGAAATATTGGAGCAAATAAAAAAAAATGTGCTCAATTATAAAAATTTGTTTATGCAAAATTATGCAAAATATTATGCACAATATTCTTTTTTAACTATTTATTAGTATTTATTAACTGTTATAGCTATGAGTGAGAAATTTTGAATTGTAAGGTTCATTAATAAAATTTAAGTAGAATAAGCCTAAAAGTTCTTAAAAAAGGAAAATTTTAGATTTTGACTTTTTTCTTCTAGTTTTATAACTCTTAAATTAAATGAACGATTTTGCGCTAATTTTGGATTTTGTGATTCAAAATTACACACTGTTTTAAATTTTCTAAGAATTTGCCTGCAATTCTTCTCAGAAGATTATGATAAATAATAATTTATGAACGGTGGTGGCTCGGGAGAGAGAACCCGGATCCGAATCCCAGCGATGGCTGGTCAATACGAATTCTGCACCCGGCTCGCACCGGCCACATTTTTTACTTAAAATATCTGCAGGGGTTGATGGATCAAATGTTAGAGTCTCCTTGCCGTTAGGCGAACCGTGGTTTTTTTTTTTGTGGTTTTCCTCTACATGTAACACAAATGCAGGTTAATTCCATCAAAACGTCTTTTACATAAAAAAATTTCTTCCAATTCTTTATCCAGGAGTTTCCTTGTTTTTCATATTGAGTTGAAAATTACAGGGCTACGGAGTTGAACATTCGAAATCGTAAACTCAAAATTGGGTCGGCTGTTAAACGACGGTTATAAAATAAAATTTAAAATAATAATGCTAGTAAGAAAATAATCTTGCATGAAATTATCTTTGAGTAAAGAAACATTAAAGGCAGCCATAAACATTCGTTAACTAGTTATCAATTGTAAACAATTACAGATAAAAGTAAAACGTGCCAACATTGGAGTTTTTGGAGGCAAAAATTTTTAACATGGGGTGAAACATATGATAAGTGATTTTGGTGCAAGATTTTTTTGCCTTGTTTAGGGCTTTCCGGCATTCTTTAAATTATATATGAAAGTTCGATTTGGTGTCAACTTGAGAAAAAGTGTTCCTTTTCACAATTTTTAGGGTTGTTGAACTTTAAATTCGGTGAGATATTACACCACAGTTTTTACAGTGTTGTTTGTTGTTACTCAATCTATTTCACTCTTTAATTTTCTTAGTGAAAATTATTGCATGCCTGTAACACGGTTAACGAATAAAATGTAATTATTTTCATGGTAAATTATTTCAAAAATGCAAATATTTAGCACTTTGGATGTCTAAAATGACTTTTCTTGCTTCACAGGGATCAAACTGTGCTTCGAAGGTGATTTGAAATATATTGCCATTCAATGCACGAAATTGAAGGATAAATATAAACTGCCAGATGATAAAAAAAGGAGTTCTGGAAACAGCAAACGAGAACCGGGTCTTGCTACTTGCAACGAAAATGAATTAGTTGTGTCTCTGTTGCTGGAAAAAGATACAGACACAGGAGACATCAATGTCAGCATTGAATGCATAGAGTTAACACAAAATTAACGTTCTCTTTACTACTTTTGATAGTTTAAGTAGTGGTTAAACGCTTAGAGCAGATTATGCTATACACATGCGCAAAATAACCGGTCTCATAATTTACCGACAATTTAGAAAACATTGTTTCCCACTCCAAGATTAAAAATTAGTTTCGAAATTTTAAATTAGCTAAAAATTGATTCCAAGCAGATGATTGAATAGATGCAGCAAAAGTCTGGTGTAGTCTGAGTACAAAAACTTAAAACATAAATATAAATTTCTAAATAATAAAAAAGAAGTTCTGGAAACAGCGAACAGCCACTAGGTCCTGCTTCATGCAACAAAAATGAATTAGTTGTTTCTCTTATGTTTAAAAAAAGATTCAAACACAGAAGATATCAATGTTAACATTGCGTAGAGTTACTACAGAATTAACATTTTTTTAAAACTTTAGAAACATTTGTCAGTTTAAGTAGTGTTAAATCATTATGCTCTACTCATTAACCTGTCTTTATACCGCGTCCCATAATTTATAAGGAAATTTAAAAAAACTTATAATAATAAAAAAGTCAAAGAATAGAAATACATGGTTTGATTTCTCCAAATCACGTGTCAAAATTAGAAACTGTGTTCGTCACAAGGCAGCGCTGCTAAATGAGAAAAGCTAGAAGAATATTTTCAGGAAAACCACAACTTTCTGCAACAATATGGATGAAAAAAAGAAAATGTTGCGATTTAAAATGTTAAACTTTTTTCACTAAACTTTTTTAACAACTTAAATTAGTCACTATAGCACATTAAAGTTTATAACACTATTCTTAATCGATAAAGAATCAATATTTCGTTATTTTTACCTGCGCTAAACAATGATAAAAGAGAAAGATGCAGAGTATACTTATCGCACTATGCTTTCATGTTCCTTCCTTCCTTTTTTTTATTTTTTAACTTTCATATGTATTTATCCATGTTGCAAAAAATAAAGATATGCAAATATTTCTCCTCCTATTTGATATTTATATCTATTTTGCGTGAGGACTTAAACGCGAGGGCTATTTGTTAACATTCTCTCTTTTGAGCACTATTTTTCTTTTCTTTAAAAAATCGAAACAAATATTTTCTTTTCCCGTTTCTTCAAGAAAATGTGACTCGATAAAATTAGATTGATTGATTTCTTTTCTAATTTTCTTTTTTCTTTGTTTATTTCAAAAATATTAGAAGCTTAGTATAACATATTTTTTTTAACTGATAAAATCCTATTTAGCGGATCACTTATGTGAATTTATTTTTATAGCTTTTTTAAGAGCTAAAAATACGGTTTTTTCATTTTCTTTTTTCATTTCAAAATCAAATTAAAATTGAGTGATCTAAAGTAAGTTAAGAAGGAAAAGTTATGTTGCTTTAAACTAATTTTTAAAATTACTTTAAAAAAAAATCAATTTGCCTTTTAACATAATTGTTACCCACTTGCATTTTGTTGCTTATGAAAGGGAAAAAAAGTATAGGCTAAAATAAAAAATTACAGGGAAGGGCTCATCATTATCAAACAATGAAAACGTGTTGTTTAGTTGACTTTTTTTGTATTTTAATATTTCTGAATTAGCCGACCAGGTGGCCGAGTGGTTAGCGTGTCTGACTGCGGAGCCATTGGCCGCGGTTTCGAACCCTGCTCCTGCATGGATGCTTCTTTCTCTCTCTGTGTTCTATGTCCTATCCTCTTTGCGTGAATGTGTAAATGTGACCGGTCCTATAAACGGGTTTGTGGTTGTGTGACGTGGGCGACGCTGCTCCAACGCCGTGGCTTCGCCACAGGTGCCTACTGGGTAACGAGAAGAGAGTAGCAGTTCTGGCATTTCTGTGGCCAATGGGACAAAATGTCCGCCATTAAAAAAATATTTCTGTATTAATATTACTGCTCTGGGCCATAGATGGCGCCCATGGAAAACAAGAACAATTGCACCCCCTGCCTTAAAGGCCGACGATTACAACAACAACAATAGTATAATACAATAGTATAATTATACTTCTGTTTTGTTAGATGGCAATTTTCATAGCACAAAAACTGTACTCTCTTAGAAAACACTCTTTACCTTTATCTCTTAATAGAAACACTCTTAATATGTTGCAACAAAAATTTAAAAAAAAAAGAAAATTAATTAGGAAAATATTCTTTTATTGTGTTTTCAATCCAAATTTTAAAATTATTTTATGCACCACAACGTCGTCAGTAAATACATAACATTGTTTTTTTATCTCACATTTTCATAATTATCATAATAATCATCTGCTATCACAATTTCATTATCTGATTTGTGTCTTGACATTTGAACTTTCAGTGGAGGATGTTGGGACGACCTCCTTTGTTTTCCATTTTTATCATGAGCACAAAAGTAATAAACGACAACTGATTGAAGAAGAGCGACGAATAGTATGCAAAATATAACACCAAGGAGAGCCTCTGTTGAGAATCCACCTGATTTTTTTTTTTTTGAAAAAAGAAGTTCGTTACTCTAAATAGCGTATATAAAATAAAACATAATTTTATGGTATCAAAAGATGAAATTTCAATCAGAAACTAAAGATTTTTTAAACAAAAACGTGTTACTTGAATAGCGCCTTTAAAATAATAAACAATTTTGTGATATCAACAAGTACATGAAATTTTGGTGTGAAGGCTTTCGGACTGCTAAAAATTGAGTGTTATTTCTGGAAAATGTGATCATTAAATCACATGTTTAAAGAGTTTTCTTATATTTTGCCCATGGTACATTACGAAACGCTAACTAATATTTATGTGCAGAAAAAAATAAAAACGCTATTGAAATCAATGGAATTGCTAGTTAGTAAAAGGCTATGAAAAGCATCGTAACCAGTTTTATTGCCAGATAAAATTTTGAGGTATTTTTATTTATCACCTATCAACTCTTTGTTTAGTTCATCATTAAAAATAAGGTTTGATATTTTTCTTCCCTGTCTTCTTGTGCGTCAGTTGTGATTCCTTAGACTTCTATAGCGTTGCTGATTTTTTTTTTCTGTTATAAATATAAATTTTCGACCTATACTGTGTGTATTTTTATTATGTCATTTTTCTCAAAAATTTTAAATACACATACTAAGAGTAGTTATTACGGAACACTCTCAAAATGAGTCATCAAGACTACATCAAGTCTTCACAAAAATTTAAAAACCTCATTATATTAAGAGTAGTCGTTACGGAACACTCTCAAAATGGGTCATCAAGACCTCGTTGAATCTTCAAGATCTCATTTTATTAAGAGTAGTCGTTACAGAAGATTCTGAAAATGAGTAATCAAGACCTCGTTGAATCTTCAAAATCTCATTTTATTAAGAGGAGTCATAACGGAGCACTCTGAAAATGAGTCAGCAAGACCTCGTTGAATCTTCAAAATCTCATTTTATTAAGAGGAGTCATTTCGGTGCACTCTGAAAATGAGTCAACAAGACCTCGTTGAATCTTCAAAATCTCATGTTAAAAATAATTTCTCAGCGTGAAATAAATTTCTGTTGGAGAAGTTATTTTTACTTAAAAATAAGTTCTTAAATGAATGAATAATTTAATGAGAATAACTTCCGTTACAGAAGCTGTTGTATTTACTCTAAAAATAGAAAAAAGTATTTACTAAAAATAGTTACACTAAAAATATTTTCTATATGTAGCAAAGCAGAGTTTAATACTCCAGTCTGTAACACAGGCTGTTCTTTTAACTACATAAGCAAAATCTAATGTAGTCAAATAATAATTTATGTCTATTTTTCATATAGAAAGTTAAAACCACTGTTGTAAGTTCCTTTTACTTAGGAAACAACTATTGATTTTTACAACTCAATAATTCTTATTTCTCAGCATTTTAAAAATGCTCTACAATCCAAAAACTGTTGATTTCCAAATTTGATTCCAATCCCAAATTTGTTTTCCATATCTAATTACGCTGCATAAATAAGGCAAGCAATTTCGTCCTTCGAAATTTTAATAAATGTCTTATATTAAATACCATAAAATAATTATTTTAAAAATAAAATATAATTTTGATTCCCTTTTTTGTAAATACACTAAAGTACACTGTAAATCCAAAAAGGAATATTCGATTTTTGGCTTTATTATACTGCACTGTGTAAAAATTTTAGTACTAATTAATGTTATGAAACAGGACTAAGAACAAGAGCTAAGAAAATTTGTTAAAATTTTGATGTTTTAGAAAGTAAAGATCCTGAATAAAATGGTAGATTGAATATAAATATAATTTAAAAACAAACAAATCAATAATAGAGAAATAAATAAATGTAGAATGCTGTACTTACTAGAGCATGCAGGGGTTAAAACTTCGCTGCTCGTCGTTCCATTTGCAGAAACTATGAAATAAAGTAAATAACGTTCAAAATAGTTTTCAATTATTGATATAAAATTCTTTTTTTAAGTGTCTTGGCGAAATGAAACGTTCTTATGAATTCTGAGTTAGAACTCTCAGCAAAACCACTGTGCTGAATGTGCTAAAATATTGGTTTCAAAATATCCAATTATTGTAGCTTTGTGAAAGAACATTTCTTTAATGAGTTAATAGTAACGAAAAAGACGATTACCTAGATTTGAAAAATAATAATTTCTACTTAGATAAAAAAAAATCATCCTAAGGAATACAGGTTATGGTAATCAATAAGAAGAAATAAATGCGAAATGAGGTAATTTTAGTCGTTGAAGAGACTTATAACAATGCAAATCGGGAACAGATTTCTATCGCTATTTATTAACTATTTTCATCTTTATAAATTTCACTATGAAAGTTAAGATTTATGTCGGACAACTAGTAATCTTCCCTCTCTCTATTTTGCTACCTTTTAAAGGGTAGACCCATTCATACGTCCATTCATTCATCCACAGATCGTAATTTTGGCCTGAAACTGAGAACTATCAATCTCCAATTAACTACTTCCAGAGGTATTTATTTGTTATTGGAACTTGAAGGACTTTGTAACCTGACAGATGTCACGTGCACCAGTCACCATTTACTACACAGTCTTCGGCCGGCGGGAATCGATCTCACGACTTCTTGGACATGGGACCAACTTCCTACCAACCATGCTATCCCTGCCTTTGTTATTGTATTTCGAGTTTAGAAAAATTAGTAAGGTTTTTGTCTGGGTTTTTGTGTGGTTTAATAGAATTATCACACGTCGTTTTATTTATTGTGTTATTTTTAATGTCCAAAAAGTTAGGCTATTTTTGAAATTTAGAATACTTAGTTAATGCTTCATTGGGGTCTGAGAAAAAAAAAAATTTCCGTTAATCTTAAAGATCCCAAAATTGTTTAGAATTTTTTTCCTTCTGGAATGTAATAATTTACTTTTTTGAATAGAGCAAACAGAAGGTCTATGGTGGTCGCAAAAATAGTCGTTCCACTTCATTGAGTTAGGATTGACTTCAGCACATTGTTCCTTTTCAAAGTTTGGCTCATTGTTCGCCCATGCTGTGAAATCCATTGGTGTTCTATCCACCCATACAAACTCTTCCTCTGAAATTTAAATAAATAAGTGAACAAATAGATAGATAAATTTCATACAAATAATAATTATAATATAATGGGACCTGCTTGTTCAATAAAAATCGAAACCAATTACCTGTCTTAATTATCGAATCGCCAAATTTCTTATTACTATAAGAAAGTTAAATATTTATTGAAGTATAGTAATAGTTAACCTGTTCCCGATCACGTGTTAGTTAATAATGCAAGTAAATTCAGTCTGACAATAAAAATAATTTCTTTAAATACACCGAAGAGCCAGTACATTATGACCACCCTCCATATATAACAATGGGGCTCGCCCAGGTTTTCATGGTTTCTCGCCCAGGAGCAATGTCTTCATGGAGCACATTAGGACCCACAATCCTCATAGAACAATCCCTGACGTCTGTAAGCTACTTGAACATAGTTGCAGACCAGGTTCACCCATTCATGGCAACAGTTTTTCCTGCAGGGGATGGTGTTTACCAACAGGATAACGCACCTTGTCATAAGGATCGAATCGTCATGGATTGGTTCGAGGAACAATCCAGTGACTTTCAAGTCATGTCTTGGCCCCCAAATTTACCTGACCTTCATTCAAGAGAGCATTTGTGGTCCTACTTGGAAATCCAAATTCGTGCTGCCACGCTACCCCCTCGCAATGTGAGGGAATTGCAGGACCAGTTGGTGAGCTCTTGGTACCAGATACATCAGACTACCTATCAGCACCTTGTGGAATCAATGCCACGGCGGGTGCTAGCAGTTTTGAGGGTTAAAGGTGGTCCTACATGTTATTAGCAGGGTGATCATAATGTAATGGCTCTTCGGTGTAAATAAAGCTCAAGGTTTGTCATGTTTTGAGGGCAAGTGCCACTTACCTTAAAATGTTATCCAATCATAGAGGCTATTAAGAAATTAATGGCAACGTAGAGGGCTAGAAAGTCGCAGAACACGTTGATCAAGGGACAACATGTTTATGCCGTGAAGTGACTTTTTTTTCGATGTGTAGAGAACATAAAACCGTTGATCAGTAAAAGGTGTAATTGTTGGCGTGGTTTTACAGGGGACAATGTCGTTACTACCACTCTAACTCATGCTTACAAAAAGTGATCAGAGGTCATGGATTAAAATTGAGGTTACTCTTGACAAAATTGAATAGCAATATTATCGAAGACGTGTATGCTGAGAATGTGTTACAGTTTAGGACAGTTGCTTTGAAATCAAGCAATCCAAGATTGAGGCTGTGGATTTGTATCGCACAGGTGGACATCGTATGTGGTCTTCTTTCCAAAGACTATCCATGGATTGTTCCGTCGAAGTATCTGATTTCTGACGTGCCGTCTGTGTTCCGAGCTATAGAACACTTCGTCGCTAACATGAACAGGCAATACCTTGTTACGGTATCCTACGACTTCCTAACTTCTGGCATAAGATACAAAACTTTGCAGGTACTTATATTGAAGAAACATAATGTAATTTCGCTTGTACATACATTAAAAAGAGTTTCCCAGACATGTTACTATTACTTTATTAATATCACTCGTACAACAACCACTTTACTTTTAAAAATAACTGGTTAAAGTATTTTTATTGTGCTATTGCAAATGTATTAAGTGTTAATAACACTAAATATAGTTTTAAACGATTATTTTTATAAACATTAAACAGATAATCCAATTTCGTTCATTTTATGTCTTATAACATTCAACTACATCGAGCTAAAACCATAGAAATACGTTAGTGTTTAAACCATTAATACAGGTTATTTGTATAAAAATACATAATACAAAACACTTAAACACATCACCGCACTACTTACCATATCGTAAATGGCGATGAAGACCTATCCACGAAAATAATCGTGCTTTCATAAAATGCACCATTAAAAAAGGCTGCAAAATATCTAGTTCTGGTTGGGAATGGAAACTAGCCAGTGTACCGCCTACATTTGAGAAAGGAAATAAAGGGAAAATAGAATTAAAGCAAACTATTAGACGTTATAAGCATTAGAAAAAGTTTGAAACTATCACTTGTTATGAACATTAAACAGGTGTGATCTAGTCTAAAGTCCCTTGTTAAATTGTGAGGGCTGTTGATTTGGGTCCATATTAGTAAAAAAAAATATTATAAGAGATATTTAAAAAAATTCTATTAACGTTTTGATAAATTTAATAATAAAACTACAGGGAGCAACAAAAATTGCTAGTTACTGAACACTAGATGTAAAAATTAGGTTGAATAATTAGTTTGAAAAAGACTCGGAATAACATTTTTATTAGTTTATAAACTAAGTAGTACACATCACCTCTTCTTAAACATCTAAAATTAGCTTCAAACCACGTCAGATGATCGGTATTGACATAGTAGCAAAAGTCACCACCAAAATCTCTCCACCCAGCAGGTTCTTCTGGACAAAAGAATTCTTCAGATGGCATCAGAGATGGTGCAGTTTCTGAAACTACAACACTTATCATTTTTTTTTTGTACGATTCATTAAGTGTGAATTAATTTTATTTCTTTGAGCGTTATAAATTTAAATACTTATCGTAAAATTACTGATACATAAGAGTCCTTTATATTTCTTAATGATTTTTGTTGGGAATATATATTTGAGTCTTTTAATGTAGATATTTCCTAGAATTCGTTTCCGACAAGAATTTTTAAATGAACATAAATAATGTTATTGAAAACTTGACCCTCAAAATATAGCATCTACAATCTAGATACTAGAAATGAAATCTAGATACAAAATATAGTTCCATTAGTTCAGACCAGAGGACACTTAGAGGACCTTAGTTTTCACTCCTTATGGTTCTTTTCCCTTTTTGCTTTGTTTGCTATATCTCATGAGTTTTTAAAGCAAATCAAAAATTTTGCGCTTAGTCATGAAATATGTTTATCCAACAATGATTCCACGTAAAAAATACTTTTTAAAAATAATTATTTCTTATCATTTTATTCATTGATTGCTTGATTTTTTGAACTATTTTTATCGAACACAAGTTATCTATATTTGTAGTGGAAGAAACTTAAATTATGTTTAATTTATTAAAAAAGTTTTATTTCTTCGATCTTTATAAATTTAAATACTTATCTTAAAATTATTGATACATCAGTGACTTCATGAAAATTACTTGAACAAAAAGTTTCAATTCGATATAGCTTTTATTCTTAAAATAATTACCAGTAGAAGTTTCACAGATAAAAGGCATGGGTCTTTTACAAGAGACTGTTGTCCACTGGTGGTTCAAATTACGAATGGCGCATGCTTCATCCAGCAAGTCCCCTGGATCTTCCATCCAATTTGTAAAGGCAACAAACCACCCAGAAGACCATTGTTGTTGAAATTTATTCTAAGCATTCGAAAAAAACTATTTAAAACAATAACGTAAGAAAGTGCTGAGGTATCTGGTAAAATTAAATGGTAGCAAATTCGGAAATTTAGAGGGTAAAGAATAAAGCCTTAAAGGAAGAACTTGAAATGAAATTTGAAATTGCAAATGAAATAGAAATGGTAAATATATAATGTACAATACAAAAAAGATCTAAATCAAAATTATTACCAATTATAATAATAGTTTAAAAATTTTGAGCTGTTCTATAATTGAGAAAAATAATTTTGTTTGGAGCTAGATTTTAGAACTAAGCAGTCGACTATTTTGAGCTTATAATGTCTTAACAGATGTAGTAAATTAACCACTTAAAAATGTTTCATTAGTTTTCCTACATATTTATTAAGTGTGACATGGGATTATCTATGTCTCATAAAGCATTCATTAAAACGATATGTTTCGGTTATTTTCTTATAAACAGAATTAAACTTGCTTTTGTGGCGTAACTACCACTACGAATATTAAAAACATCCATTAACCCTGACATTCAAATATCATTTTAAAAACATTAAGAGTAAATTCATAGCGGCAAGATGTGCACTTTATCCTATTCTAAAAAAGAACTCTCCCCCCAGCACTAATAACAGAATTCCAATTTTTAAAATGCTTCTCACCCCCCTATTAACATATGCAGCACCCACCTTGGCTGCAAAGACAAATCTTAAACTCTTACAGAGTGCTTATAATAAAACCCTCCGCAGTATCACAAATTCACCCTGGTATTTCAGGAACAAAAATATCCGTAATGACACCTGTGCGCTTAGCCTTCTTGACTTATACAAAAATAGTTCTCTTAAATATTTTCTTAAGAGCACTGGACACTCCAACCCCCTTATTTGGTCTTCCTCATATACGACCCAAATGACCCTAAGTGCAGGAGACGGCCTAAGGCCATTCTCCATAACTATAAAAATCTTCAAGACATCGTTTGAGTCGTATTTCTGATTTTTCTATCCCCCTGACTGGCTCCTTATGTCTTTTTTCATCATTACCATTACCCTTTTCCATCTTCTTGGGTAGGCCCAATCCTTCGCGGAATTACTGCGGCTCATTCTGATTCAATTTACTAATTAAACTACTAACAATGCTAACCACTAACTGCTTATTTGTCAATAGTTATAAATTAAAAATGAATAATAATTAATAATAATTAATTTAAAGAACTTATGACTTTATCTGTTTGTTTATGTTTTTACCTGTCCGTGTTATCCCTGTTCTATCTTTTTTACCGCAATATTATTTAGCTACCTAACATTAAGTTTACTAACCCAAACAGTAACGTACGCAAGGGAGGGGTTTAGGGGTTTAAACACCCCCCTTGAGCTCAGACAATGGCAAAAATGAAAATTTTAGTAGAAATTATGCGGGCTATTATTTTTTAAGACTATATATTTTTATTTGCCTTATGCCTACTTTTTTTCCTCACGGTATTTCTCAGAATACTGAAAAAAAATTTACTATAATAGGGTTGCACTTTTGAAACCAAATTCACGTGATAATGTTACGGACTGGTTCCTTCCTGTCCTCCCAGTCGCGATAGTTTTCGAGACTGGCTGGCATTCGCGAGGTCTTTACGCAATGATTCTGGAATCCTAGAATAGTGTAAATAATTTATCTTCAATTGTTTCTATTATTATGTATCAAATTGGGATTTTATTGTTATGTATAACCCAGACTAGAATTATGATTTTCAACTATTGTACATTCTGAGATTTAACTTACTGTTAACGCAGCAACCCCCTTCCCATCCTCCAATTTATTTTTCTATTGCGATGAAAGAGCAGATATCCAACACTGGATAGGTACTCTGATAAAACTTGAATAGTTAGTTAGTGGAGTTAGTTAGTCGGGCTAAGAGTTATCTCTGCCGCTTGTCTTTCGGAGCTTGTCGCTAAAT